GGAGAAGGAGAAGGAGAAGGAGAAGGAGAAGGAGAAGGAGAAGGAGAAGGAGAAGGAGAAGGAGAAGGAGAAGGAGACCTGATTGTTAATAATGAACAGAAGAAGCCTACTGAACCCTTAAAACCAGGGTCTGTGCCAGTAATGGTCTGTTTCTAATAGTCACAATAGCCCAGTCCAAGTACTGCTACTCTGCTTAGATTTGATTTGGAAGTTATTTTAAGAAAGGCTTTCTATCCCTTTCCTAATCACTCCTATCATTAATTCTGTGGGAAAGTGTTTGGGCTAAACATAAAAAGACTAGAAAATGGAGATAGAGAACTACCTTCTTCATATAGATACAATTGCTTTCTTTCCTGAAAAAAAAAAGAGAGATTTTAAATAGGCAGTTACCTTGAAGGAAGCAGTTACCTTGAAGCTTACAAATGCTTTGCATCTTACTTTAGTCTTTGCAACCTTCTTGTTAAGACTGCATGAGTCTACTTTGGAACAAGATAATAAAAAGAGAAGTGAACTGATCCTTCATTCCTTCTGGAATTCATGCAGTTAAAACCATCTGGGAAATCATATCCTCCAAACAACAAGATTTTTATTTATGTATTTATTTTCATCTTCTCAGTTGCCATAATTAGATCTAAAATGTGTTTGTTTATTTTTGTTTTAATGTTGCAAGACAAAACAGGCTCTAAAACAAGTTGGATTTTAGTAGGATCCGTATGAGTTAGTTCAGGAAAAAAAAGTATGCTGAATAGTCAAATATAGCAATTCAGAAGGGCTTTTCTTCTGTTTAACATAGAGGCTGTACATATTGAGACACTGAAGAACTACTTGAAAGGCCTATTGTGTGTGTGTGTGTGTGTGTGTGTGTTTAAAAGGTTTAGATGGCTTCCCATCTTAAAAAACTCTGGGCACAACAACAGTGAAACATTAACTATATAACAAACATAAGACAATAACCCAGTAAAACAAACAAAAACTTAAAACCTTGCACTCTAATTATCCCCTTAGGATACCCCACAGCAAGCTCTAATTACCCTTATTCTATTCTATTCTATTCTATTCTATTCTATTC